GGCAACACAGTGAGACTATCTCAAAAAAAACAACAAAAAAAACAAAACAAGACCCCCTCCCTCCAAAAGAGAAAAGAGTGTCTGCGTATATAATGTTCAGTATCAATGACTGCGGCAAAAAGAAATTTTAGAATTTAAAACAAATATCTTTGTCTTTTTGATGAACTATGACAAGATTTAAGAACACAATCTACCAGGCCACACACAGAGCACATGCTATCAGCCAGCAAATCACTATACTCATTTGAATGAAAAACAGAAATCAAAACAACTGAAAATCGTCTCAGAAAATGCTGTTTGGCAATCATTGGCATATTCGTGCTGTAGTACTGTTTGTCATAAGATGACTTTATAATAACTGCAACCCTACTTAATAAATTTGCTCTTCCTGAAGTTTTTCAGAGAATCTACCTTCATATTGATCTAAAGATACTTAAACTATTATAGAGTTTTATGAATTATGATATACTTCTAATATAAAATGGATGCCCTAAAATAGTAATAGAAAGCTCGAAGTGGCTAGTTTGAAAGTTTTTTCACCCTCCAATTACATTTTAAAAAATAAAATAGTCTACAAGAAAATGAGAAGAAAAATCCATGACTCAATAAAAGCAGACTGGCAGAGAGAAAAGGATAGTGGACATGTATTCTTGAAAAATTTCTACCGCTATAAAATATCTTCATTATCCTCAATTTTCTGAACTGAAAAAAGGTAGAATACTTTTTGGTATTAATCAGCTTAAGAGAACATTTTATTTTTCTCTATTATATATCCTTCAGCTTTTACAAATGTGACTAATAATTTAATTAGTGCTGACTGTTAACAATATTCAGATTGTATTAAGAGTCATATTTACTTTAATATTTGTTTAAATATTATGTAGAAACATAAAGAAACTGTTAACTTCTGCCAACTAGCTGGACATACCCATATATCTGTAAAAATAAATGCAAATTATTACTTAACAAGTAAGCTTAAGGGACATTGCCAATATGTAGTATTTCTGTATTTCAGATCTTTCCAAAGTTTAAAATCAGACTTTAAAAACTTACACATTTCTTTGGCCTTGATGGCATTTTCAAGTTAAGACTTTATATATGGCTAGACAACAAAAAATGTACTTACTAAATATAAATTTCATTTTCATTTTAACAATTTTCCCGAAATGTACATAATAAAAGTAAAACAGCTCCAAATAAAAATAAAACAATTTAATGTACATGATCATTCCTCTATTAAAATAATTTCATATATATACACCAGAAATCTTTCCAATTTGAGATAATAGAGCCTCCATGAAAGTATGATTTCAGTACACCAAGGCAATGGTACTGTTTTCTATGAGACATTCATGAGGTGACTTACTATTTTGATGATTTTTACTACAGCGAATGAGCCTACTGCTATAAGCCCCAATCATCTAAACCTATCCAATAATGACTACAACTGTTCGAAATACATAAGGAATGTAGTGCCAGCTCCAATGCAGAAAAGAACTACTGCCTTTATCAAGAGGAACTACAGGATTATTCTCTGTTTATTAGAAAATAACCACAATGTCAATGGTCCAGGGACTGATCTGATCTGCTTCTCTCCAGGAAGTGAAAGCCAAAACTAATTTATTACTGTGACTGAAATGAAAAATAAATTATTATTGTTCATCCTAATTTATTAACTATCCAAAGTAGGTTATTTATATATATATATAAATAAAGTCACAATCTTTTAACATTAACACGAGAAAATGGCCTGCAACTTGAAAATGACCTAAAGAACCCTGATCCAGGATCACTCTCTGAGAATTTCTGATCTAAGCAACAGGTTTTTAAAAAAAAAAAAAAAAAAAAAAAACCAAAACCCTTAAATAGTTACTAATAGCATGCATCTGTTATGTGACTAGTTTGAGATGTCAAAGGAGACTCATCTGTTGAAGTCATATCTCAAGATGCTATTAATACCAAAAGAAGAAAATTAAAGCTTACATTTATTTCTTGTAACAGCTAATAATTAAAATAAGTATGTTCAAAGACTACACCATATGCATTAAACATAATATTTTGTGTAATAGTGAGACTTACTTGCGGCTGTGATGGAGCTTCTGAAGGCAAGCTATGGGATGACCTGCTCCGAGGTGGTGGTTGTGGTGGGGTTTCCAAATTTGGCTGTGGGCCAGACTGAGGCACAGGTGCTGCCACAGGGACAAGAGGCTCCTGTAACCTTTGAGCGGGTGGGGGCAGAGAAGACTGCGGAGGAAAAGCAGCCTGAGGCTTCAGTGGTTCAGGAAGGAAAGCTGAGCCTAAAAAAACAATGATGTCAGATGTTAGGTGTATCCTAGAAATCGATGTTTTTTCCTTCTTTAGTGAAATGTTAGGAAAACATTCTAATTGGTATTTTTCCCCCAACAAGTAGACTAATTTCTTGTGGAATAAAGAAGGAAGGGTGGCCCTATTTGAATACGTTGTGGAAAGTGGGAGATGACAGAAGAGAAAAGGAAAAATGGAGGAAAAATATAGAATAAAACTGGAGCGGTATTTCTAATACAGTACGTACCTTTGGCTGCTTCTGAGGGCTTGCTTTGGCTTTCAGGGGTCAATCTGCCAGCAGCCGCTCGTGCATGGCTCTGAGGGGCACTGATAACTCCAGCACGGGGTGGAATTGTCTAAAGATGGGGAAACATGACACTTGAGACATTTCCTTATTTTCAACAGATAAGATTCTGTGAGATTTGTTTTTGCATCTCATTTATTCTTCTCTAGTATTATTCCCCATCTTATCATTTTAATTGCTCTCTATTTATAGCCATATAGTGATAAATTTTAAAACCTTTTTTGACTGTTCACTATGTGCCAGGCACTATGTCAATTAAGTACTGTGTGGGCATTTTCATTTCATCTTCAAAATATCCCTCAGAGGTAGGTATTATTTTATAATCCCTACTTCAAATTAAGATGAAGAACTATGTAAAACTTGTCCAAGGCCCTACAGTTAGAAAATAGAGCCAAGATCCAAACTCATGTCTGACTAACTGCAGGGCTAGGGTTCTTAACCATGTGCCATGTTGTCTTCATGGAAGAGACTGGGACGATTTTAAAGCACACGAGGAGATGGAGAGATATATACCTGAGCAACTTCACAAAATCTACATCCTGAGATAGATAGATTAATTAATTAATTAGAGATGGAGATCTCACTATGCTACCAGGGCTGGACTTGAGCTCCTGGGCTCAGGCAATGCCTTCTCCTTGGCCTCCCAAAAGTAGCTGGGACTACCGGCACGTGCCACTGTACCGAGCTAGATTTTTTTTTTTTAAACATAGAAGTAAAACTTTTGAACACCTAACTCGGTATTCCAAATTAAATACATTGAAAGGTACATTGGTGAAAAATATTTTTTCTATTTTCATATGTTTGCTGAAGGCTCTAAGCCCCCAATACTTATTTTAAGCCAAAGTTAATATACACTGTTTTTTTTTTTTTTTTTGAGACAGAGTCTCACTCTGTTGCCCGGGCTAGAGTGAGTGCCGTGGCATCAGCCTAGCTCACAGCAACCTCAAACTCCTGGGCTCAAGCGATCTTTCTGCCTCAGCCTCCCAAGTAGCTGGGACTACAGGCATGCGCCACCATGCCCAGCTAATTTTTTTCTATATATTTTTAGTTGTCCAGTTAATTTCTTTCTAATTTTAGTAGAGACGGGGTCTCGCTCTTGCTCAGGCTGGTTTCGAACTCTTGAGCTCAAACGATCCGCCCGCCTCGGCCTCCCAGAGTGCTAGGATTACAGGCGTGAGCCACCGCGCCCGGCCACAAAGTTAATATACACTTTTAACCTCACAAAAATCCTGGCTTCCTTTCCTATCTTTACAGTTCTAAACAGAACAAAGTTCTTGTGGGAAGTGTGATAGTGGAGTCAGCAAATGGCAATTTTGCCTTTTTTGAAAAAAGGACAATGGGTAATAGATATCTTTGGGTATATTCTACAGCCATTTTAATTTGGAAAGTAATATTACATATAGAAAAGTACGTTCAGATTGTTAAGCAGATAGCTACAACAGAAAAGACAAACAATTTCTATCTTTATCAGAAGTAGTTTCTTAAATTGTCACAGCCTTAGGTAGAGTAATAGCTCCCAGTTCCTCACTGTTCAGATATGGGTCTGTCAGCACTTCAGGCTCTACTGGACAAGCCTAAGTCACTCATTACTGGTTTCCATTTCCTCTTTTTCTATCTTTTTTGGTTACCGGTTATAGCCCAGAGAAAATTTTCATTTGGATAAATAATGAAAAAATTATGTGTATAAGAGAACATATGATAAACATACAGAAAACCACAGATTCATAAGGTAGGGAAAAACCCTGCAACACCACTTGCTCGCCTATTTTTAATACTGTTAGAACCAGTTTTAATATTCTGATTCTATCACAGTATTTTTTTCTGAAATCTCTTGAAATCCTTCTTATTGAGGGATGACTTTATATCCTCATTAATTACTTAAATAGTATGATAAAAAGCTGCCCAAATACATCACTTCCTCATATGAGAGACTCTAAAATATTTATTTCATGACCATAATTATTTTAAGTAAATCACTTTTATTCAAATAAGGAAATCTGTTTAGTTATTTTCAAAGAGGATGTTAAAATAATGTTAGAGTTGAAAGGTACCTTAGAGACCATCAAGTGTAATTCCCTCATTTCAGAGTTGAGGAAATTGAGGTCTTGAAGGGTCACATGATTTCTCCAAGGTAACAAAAGTAACTAGTAGCAAATTGGGATCTAGAACCGATACCCCTTGGCTCCCAGGCTAGGTTTTACTTACCGGCCTGGCTGCAGTGTAACCAGCAGGTCCTGGGCCTGCAAGTCCTGCTTGAGGTGAAGGCTGATTGCGTCCTACAACAAAGACATCGCATCATATATTTAAGTTAAAAAAAAAAAAAGTGAAAAGAATCAAGAAACCATGTACTTATGTTCCAAGTGTTTCATGGTCCAGTTTTAAGAGTAAAGTAGCTACATTTAAGTCTTTTTACCTATATTATCTTTCCGTGTTGTTCCAGGGCTTTTGGGTGCTTTGAAGCAGGAAGGAAAAAAAAATTAGTCATAAGTAAACAATAAAGCAATATCGCATAACATCGGTTGGCTGTTCTGCTTCATTACCGGCAGAAATGGGGGCATGAGATGGTTACAAAACACAGTGCTTTGCGTGGGATCATGATGAAGGTTGTTATCAGTACTGAATGAAATACTCCAAAAGAGAGAAAAACTAAAATACTTAGCCCTTTATAAGAGACAAGTGTCTGATACCTCACTTATGGGGCTACTTTTAAGGTGACATTCCCCACAGAGCTCTCTCATGAATCTTGAAAACATATAGTCAGCCATATGAATGCTCACAAGATGCAGCACTGCTGCTCCTCAGAGCCTGGCAGACAAATGGCTCCTTAGCGACAGGATTTATCATTTATCAAGTTACATAAGAGGCTCCTAACAGCGCTGTTTTAGGACTTCACGTTGTGGATATCATTGTGGACAAATGATGAGATCCTTTGGATTCCAATAACAAAATCCTATGATTAAGACAGAAAACAGGTATATCTTATTACCAAAGACCTGCCTTACGGAAGACTGTTAAAATACCATTCAAACTCATTAGAGAGACAGCTGAAGGATGAAATGAAATAAATCACTTTTGGGGCCAAAAAGAGTAGGAGGGACTATCAAGGCATCATCTTAGATCTATTCTCCTTTTTGGAAAGAAATTCAAGTATAATTGTTACATGAAATACATTGGCCCTTTAATAACTATAACCTTAACAAATGGCCTGTAGTCTTAATGTTCCTTTAAGTAAATCTAGCTCAGTACCGAGTTACATAAAAACAGCTGTTATTTCAAATCATCCACAAAATTCTGCATTCCTGGATTTGAATTAATAGAGTTTAATTATAATTACTAATTTTGGAAACTTCAGATTAGTAAAGTACATTTCTAAATATCTGACTTATTCTGAAAAGAATTTTGAAGGCATTCTTCTTAAATGGTTATTTCACAACCTAAGAATGTATAAAGTACATATGAAACAGTACAGACAACATAAGAATCTCAGAGAAATTAAACGGATATCCATTAGAAACTATACACAACAAAGAATGAAAAGAGAAAAAATACAAGGTATATGTTAAGGAGGCAGAGGAGAAGTTTACGGTTGGACTAAAAAGAGACTTAGTATGTCTTTAAACACAGGCGGAGGGCTGACATCGAGAAATAAAATGAGGGAGCCATTTCTAAAATGCAAAAGTCTTGTTACCTTCCATCTCTCTCCTAGCCACCCCAGGACTGGGAGGGGCTCCAACACCTTTTTAGAGAAAGAACAGAAGCTATATATTGTGCAGGGCCCACAGCACAGAATGAAAGGCAGGCACACATGATAATTTCTGCATTAAACTTACTTTTGCAAAGGCTCTTTTATTGCTTTAAATTTCTTCAAAGATATCAATACAAAACAAAGTGACTTTAGATGCCTAGCCCAAACCTGAGTCCCTCCTTTCCTCAAACAGAAGAGTAAAAACAGGATGAGTTTCCTTTTTATAGGAAATAAATTATTAGCAGTAGGGATTTTTAAAATATGTTTAATGAAGGCCTTTGCTTTATAATCATCTCATTCCTTATATCTAGAGCAAATAAAAACTCCAATATTTGTCAGAAGGAAAAACTCATAAATGAAGTTTCAATTTCATTTTATATAAAACTACATTGGCATCCTAGAAATTAAGTTTTTGATGCGTTACTTTTAAAAAAACTCTAAAAGTACTATAATGACTTTCCTAAGATTACTGCCTTAAAGGAATTATTGGTTAAGGGATAAAATAAAGTACTTACAAAAGAATTATGAAGAGAAATAATTTTTAAAATTAAAACAGATTTCTAATTAAGTCATTGGGTCACTAATAAGACAGAACTTTTCACAAATTCATTTTAGGATTTATTTTTTACAGGTTGTTTTCCTAATTAAAGCAGAAGATAAATAGAAACTATCACGAAAATAAAAGCAGGAGTTTGAAATGGGAAACATTAATGTTTTCTGTAAGTCAATGAAAAATTATCACCTAGCAGTATTTTGCATAAGCTGTAATGCTGAAATAATTTAGTTATCCTTTTGTATAAAGTCATTAAAATCCACACACAGGCAAAGTCAGTCTGTAATAAGGCCTGAATTGGTCAGCAACGTCAGTTAGAATAGATCAATCACATATATACAGTGGGGCTTAGTAATATTAAAACTGGATTTGCAAAAGCTCTTCTGGGGAACTGTGAAAATCCACCTTATCCTTTCTTGAGAATTAGATCAAATAAATTTGTCAGATGTATAACTCCAATTGACCTCTGTGACTTTTACATAAGCCAAACTACACTTCAAACAAAAAGTGATCTGTTGTGAATAAAAGTTTCCTTATC